GAAATGTTGCTGTTGCTTTTCAACTGGATCCAAATTTGTTATACACTCGAGTGAAGCGCAGAATGCAGACATGTCGCAGCTTTCGCTCCAGCTCTGGTTCTCGTTCTCGTTCTCGCTCTCGCACTATATAAATAAAATGGTAAACAACAACAACAACAGCAGCAACAAAAGCAACGGAAATAAGCAACCACATTGACAACGAGCACATTTGCAACATTTATTGAGTCGTTGAACGAGTTGAATGAGTTTGAATTTTATTTTTAAACACTCGCAGACTGAAGTGAACGCAACAAGGACTAAGCGAGCATATGCTATTTAAATATTGATTTCCGAGCAGTGACAAACACGCACTCCACAATCATACACACATTTACACACAGACAATCCGAAACACAGGCAAATAAATATAAATGCAGTGGTTGTAAAAATGCAGTAGTATTAAGTGCCGCTCATGCAAATTGGCAACAAGCTTTGCAAAGGAAAAGCAAAATAAATAAAAAAGCCAATTGAAAAATGGTATATCTTCCCTGTGTCCACAAAACATTATGATTAATTGCTATCTTAAAAATACTTATATTTATCCCAATCAGGTATATATATTTTAATTAAAATACGATTTATATTCCTGAGGAAATTCAATACCAGCTGTGGATTTTTATTTTTTCGCCACATTGTACATTGTACGTGGTATGCTCAAATCGAGTTTGCTCAGTGATGGGTTACATTGTAAATAATAGTCGGTCACAAATTTTTGTTTATATTGACAATTTTACAAAAGAGCAAAAATTACGAGTATTCAAAAACTTATTCACGTAAACAATCAATAAAATAATTGCTGTGATAAATAATTAGAAGATAAGCGAAAGGAAGAAAGTTATCTTGATGCCTGAAATGAAACATAATAGTAAACTGCATATAGAATTTGTAGTCAGCAAAATGTTTGCTAAACAAAGTATTTAAGTGAAGCATCGAGCAAAGCCACAACTCCCATTGCTGTGAGCCTTATTCGACTGGGATCTGAAAGTATTTGAGAGGGTGTTAGCCGTAACCTCTAGAGGTTGCAGGCCAAAGCGGGAGCCAAAGCCAAACACAAACAGACGATAATTGGACTCATTTAACGAAGAAGCCTGTGGCATTGACTCCTTGACAGCGTGAGCATAAGGCCAGTGCAGCTGAGCTGAGTGCTTAAAAGCCAAACGACTTAAGAGTCAACCGCAGTTGCAAGTGCAAGAGTATATTGCAGCCTGAGGTTCCCATGGGTGGTTGGTCATTATCGGTGCAACGTGAAAAGCAATTTACCAGCAGCATGAATTATTTGGGACTATAAATGCTGCAAATGTGTGGAATTTACGATAAGTGATTGTCAGGTGCAGGGCACAAAATCGATGAAATCCTTCAGCCACAAACTGCCAGCAAAGTGCCTGCAAGTATGCAACGCACTTTGTATCTACCAAAAACAGACGGCAAAAAGTTACTCAGTCAGTCAGTCAGTCAGTCAGTCAGTCAGTCAGTCAAGCGTTGCGGCTGCCTTTCAATCAAGCATATAAAATGCTTAAATTGGTTGCCTGTGCCAAAGCATGCGTTAAAATGTTGCTGCCAAGTCCTACAGAGCTCACTGAGGCGAAATTCGTTGCAAGCTGCCGCGAGCAGCATGCTTCACGTTGCACGAAGCTTATTCGGAATACTCACATTGAAAATGTCGTAAGTCATTTAATTCAAAATTCGCAAAACTTGGCTAGGCATTGAGTTTAGTAATGAGTTAAGGAACACATTTACTTGACCAATTTTGCCACATACATTTTGGGTAAGCAAAGAATTTAGTGATGGGTCGGCGAACACATTCATTGGACAAATGCAGGCACATAGCCGTTTCATATGCATTCTGAATGCATGCTGCAAAAGTTTAGATATTTTTCATGCGCCAGCAAACCAACATCAAATATTTACCTTTGAATATTGCACGAACAGGAAAGCCATTTACGAGGTCATTGTGAATATTTACATTCCAGTGGAAATGCCAGAGAAATGCTTCTACTGATATTTATTATTTTTTCTAAAGCTCATAAGTGTAATAGCTTCAAAGCGGTTCAAAGCATTATATACACAAGATAAGAAAATGCTTAAAAAATATGAAGATAAACATAAATATTTAATTTCAAAACAGCTGCTTTGAATGCTGTGCGTACGTTCCTATGCTAAAAATAGCTTCGTACAGACAGACGTCCTATATTTTATTTGATCACATACGAATAAATATATGTGGATAACAGCATTTGCAGCAGCGATAAGTGTCGCAGATGCTCAATTGACAAACGCATTGATTTTGATTTATCTACTCGCCACAGGCCATTGCACTTCAGTCTACCGATGATTGAAGTGGGCGACAGTCGCATCAATCATCAAGCTTTAGGCTTCGGCGATAACTCGATTGATTTTTTATAGTGCGTACAAGGGTAGCAATAACTGTGTGCACTTGCACCTTAAAATATTCTGTTCATTGCCAATGGAGTTGTGACTTCAACTTTGCTGAAAGTGTCCTCTGATTTTAAATGCAGTGAAAGTTGGTCGCCGCATAAGCCGAGCATCGTTCATGAACTCTTGTTAGGTCAAAGTGCATAATGCTGTGGCTCTTGCATCTAAAATGCTGTGGTGTTAGTGGTGTCTGTGCCTCAGTGGTTTTTCGTACTCAAAGGCATGACAGAATAAAGTTTTTTGAAACACCCACTGCCAGTCAACAACTCTGCATAGTGGTCTTAAATTTGACATGTTCTCGTTTTTTTTTCCATTCTAGCAGCGACCTTTTGATGCTTTTTCTTGCTGGCCGTTGAGTGCCAAACGTCTTTGCTCAGAGCTATTTTAAAATGATTGGCTTTTATGTCAATATGGATCTTACTTGTCTTTACCATATACTCTACTCGTCCTGGCGGCCAGTTTCTTTTTTATTTTTCCTTCAATTCTTCATTTTTTTTCGTTCTCTCTCGGTATACTTTTAGTGTTTTTATTTTGAGTGGGCCAATAAAGCACAATAAATATACAAATAAATGTGTATACATTTTTGCTGGAATTTCGCCAGCAGGCAAATGTCGCCAAATTCTCGTCGCGTTTTAATAGCGCTCAGAAATGTTAGTCCAAGCACTTTGGCTCCGTGGCTGCTATTCAGCTAAAATAAAGCATGATGGCTTGTGACTTTAAGCGCGGCCAGTCCATGGCCTTAATAAGTGGTGGTTGTTTCTGAAACATGCCTATCTTGTTGCTTAGGATTTTCATTAAAATTCAGATTATACATTAAATACACCTTGCGATTTCCACAACACATTTCCTCCTCCCTCCTCTCTCAACACCTCTTCGAGCGCAGCCGGCGTTGGTAAACGGCTTGCCATAAATCTTCCATTGCACATGTATAAGTCAAAACGAATCCAACCAGAATTAAATTAAAATGCCAGCTTCTGCTTCAGGTCACAAATCAAATTTTCGCACCGTGTCGGCAACAAATAATAAAGAACGAACACCAGAATGTGGCAACGAAAAATCACATTTGCAATGAGTTGTCGATAAACCGAAGCGTAAAATAAGCATTCGTCACTAAATTTTATATTTCACACTTGGCTGAGGCGGCGAACTTGAAATAATTGTGTGCACATAAATTTAAGCCTAAAAAAAAAACCAACAAAATTAAATTGAACAGAAGAGGATTTGGGTTTGATTTTGAATTCGATTTGCTGGGCAGCAGGTGGGTGGACAGTGGGAGTGTCAGTTAGTCAGACAGACGTGTTAAAAGTAGCACGCACAATTGATTTATGAAAATTTATTGCCCACATGTGGCGTATACGCAAAGTTTATCAGAGCTCGCGCCCTCTGGTATGCAACACATGTTGGTATATCCTTGCCAAGGATATAAATATGCATACCACGACAGAGTACGCCCAAAAACAGTATAATTAACGGCAGCAGGCTTGGGTCCATGCTTCAAAGCATAGAGTATGTGTGGTTAATATGATTCCATAAGGCGTTTAAGCAGCTTAACAATTCTATTTGAAATTGTCAACAGATCTAATCGTTTGAGCGTGAAAGGAAATCCTATTAACATTTATAACTTCAAATAGTACTCAGTAGAAGAATATGTTATGCTGGACATTCCGTAAGTTATAGGAGTCATTTATTGTGTGGTAAGTACACATTTTGCAAAATTATCTTAAGCTATTTACAATTTTAAATATTATTTTCTGGGAAAGCGGCATCTTTTCTAATGCAATCAATGAGCACCACATCAGATGCTAAAGAAATATCTAAAAAAAAGAAAATATATTGCTGGTATTTATATTTGAGGATAGTTTATTATTCCAGTAATCGAATGAAGCAAATATACATATGTACGTCCTCCATCCATATCCGTGTCCAAGTACCTTAACCTGTTGTTGTTGGTTTTTGGGATTTAAATCGTATGTTTGATACGGCTTGCCGCATCAAGCGTCATGCCCCAGACATAGCTTGTGTGTGGGGCAATAAAATCCGATGCATAAAAGGTAATGAGCCCAGAAAAAACAAAACAAAAAACATTCGATGCTGTTGTTAGAGCAACCACGCCCATCACGCCGCCTCAATCACATAATGAATATCGTGGGCATATTGCAGCTCTTACATTGCTTCATAAAATCAAGGACAGCTCAGACAAGCTCATAAAATGACGGCGATCGACGGCTACCTACGACGAAAATCGCATAAAATTTACGCAAATCGTTCTTGTTGTTGTTTTTGCTGTGGATGCTGTTATTGCTACGCATAAATTTGGGACAAATATAATCAAATGTCCAGAGAATGCGAGTCAGCAGCTGATTTATGCGCTGATAATAAAATGAAATTGTTGCGCATACGCCTCGTTGAACGGAAACGAAACATGTGCTTATGTAAATATATATATATATATATATATATATATATATATATAGTATATCATGCTAAACAATGTAGGTTAAGCCATCCTGGTATTGTTTGTCACATAGAGAATAATAGCAAGCCACGAAAAACATCAAATTGCATTCATTGAAATTTCAAGTAGACAAAACCAAGTCACAAAATGAACTCAGACGGAGATAGCAACAAAGAGCATGGGGATAATCAATCTTTGGATAGTTCCTTCTTCGAGACACTGTGGCCATTGATATTGGATGATAATCAATGCCGTCTGCAGAGCGAATCCACTGATTATTTTGTGCCCAGCAAGAAATTTGATCAGCTGCATTGGCATACATTGCTGGCTGAGGTAGGCTTTCCCGACTATCAAAAGCCGCATGATCTGCGCTGTTGCGAGGCCGCCAAACAGTTGGATGAATCCGAGCAGCACGCCGAACAGGAGGCCAATGAAGCTGCACTGCTCCAGAGTGCTGCGGCACTTGGAGATTATAAAGTAGCTGGCTCGCAGGCCATCTGTCCTGTGGACAAACAAATCGAGCATCTTCGGCAAAAACGGCAACGCTGCCAGAAATTGGCTTATGACTTTGCTAATCGCAAATATCCGTGGACCATGGCAAGGCAATCTCACGAGCATGGCTTTACACTCACGACTGAGCTTCGTCACCATTTCCGGTGCCCGATGGAGCGCAGGATATTGGAGGGCATCAATCAATATAATTGCAAGTTGATGCTGATTGATGCAAGCACTGATGTCTGTGTGGATGACTTTAAGCGCTGGATCAAGTTCCGGCCCTATGCTCAAATTTTGGCCATTGTTCGCTGTCCACGTGTCGAGCGTCATTTGCAGTTGCTCAATGCGTTCAACACGCTGCTGGTGGAGGAGGACATACAGAACAGTTGGCACCAGGAGCTGCAGGTCTCTCTTCATACAGGCCTCAAGGAGGCCAAGAGACTGCAACTACTTACCAACTGCGCCGAGGCATTTGTGTTTATTTTCTCACGCTATCGCGGTCTTTGCACCTGCGATACCTTCACAATTTTGTGCAGAACGTAATGTTAATAATGTAAAGTTTAATAATGATTTCACAATCTACTAATTCATTACTTAAATTATAAGATTTCAAAATGAATTGAACAAATTTCCAGCCTGGAAGCGATGTGGTCTAGTTCAACTATTTCTTTATTTATCACTATTTTGAACATTGTTCAGCATTTAGTTGGAAATCATTAATCATTTAATTACTTGCACGATTCTAAAGTGTTAAAGTAACACAACAAATGCCATCCAAATCATATTGGTTGACTTGCATTGTTGTTCGGCGAAAATTTTGTTTTTTTACTTTTACTCTTGCCCATTCATACTCTAGTTCGTGATCTCAGCGTTATAAGCACATATCGATAGGTTTGGATATATCTATCTATCGAAGGGAGCACCTACCACTATGTTGTTAAGGGGTCGATTGATGCTGATCAATAATTTATATAATTATTTTCTGGGATCGAAGGTGCTTAATTCTGTCTGTTACATACTTCTCCACCACTTCATTCTAAGCATTTTTGATCGATACAGCGTATAAAAATGAAATATGGATAATTTAAAGTATATCCGTTGAGAAGCATCGTTTTAATCCTTTAAAGATATCAGTCTTAAATGTGAGTTTCATGCTTTTCGATTGGCCGTCAATAGGCTGTCAGTTGCCCAAGCCCAGCGACTGCTGAACGGTTTGAAGTTATGCGTGAGTGCTCATGTAGTGGGTGACTAATGCGCCAATTAACGTATGCCATAACGCCTCAATGGCAATCAAAGCACTTCAAGAGCGCACAATTTACAGCGCGCATGCACTTCCTGCTGCTGGTAATAGGCAGCTGCCATTGACTGTTTGTTTGGATGTTTGGCTGTTTGTTGCGGAAGCAATTCACCTTGAGGAGCAGTCAAATTGGTCGGATATAGATGCCTCAATAGGGCGTTGGAGCTGGCGGGAAGTGACTGGAGCTGTCACGAGTGCCAATAGCGCCAACTTTGTGGGCCATTAGCCCCGTAACTTGGTAGCAAGTTGCGGGCCAACAAGAAGCATATTTCATTTCATTTATTTGGCAAAACGAATGAAATTTACGCGAAATCCCAACAAATTACCACAAAAGCTTAACAAACTTGAGCTGATTATAAAAGTTACTGTGAAAAAAAGGAAACCCTCTAAGCCATAAAAACAATGCCACCACACCCAAGAGAGGAGGCATCATTCCTCCAGCCAAGCAACAAAGATTGGCCCCGTTTATTGTTGTTAAAAGTTTTGCCAACGTGTTGCTACTTAAACAAGTACATACAGACGTACCATCGCATAATGCTATTTTCAATATTAGTATATTTTCATACAAACATTGCGTTACAATATTCAAAAGTTGTCTTATCATGAAGTGCGGACTTTAATTTATTGTTTAATGAGCGAAAATTGCGACGCTCCGTTCGTTTGGGAATTTCACAGCACACGGAGAGCTAAATGAAACCCAACTTAAAATGCATTTGATATTACCCAGCCGATCGCTCAGTTTCGCTCAGTTCATATCAGCTACAGCTCTGAAACGGTTTTAATCGCATAGTAGAACGTGACGCTGCTCAGCCTTTGTCTTGCCCCAGCATTTCCCACCCAACAATCTGCTTTGCCAGAGGAAAGTCGGCCTGCTTAACTTGTAATTCCAATGCATATGCGTTGCTGCGTACAAACATAGCGTTGCACTAGTAAAATACGAGTTATTTTTATCTTCATTTAATAGGCGAGATTCAGTGCCAGAAGCACGGATGTAAAATATGTATAGTTGTGGGACCAAGTGTTTATAAAGAAAGAACCAGATTATACCAGATTTGAAGATACAATAATATTTTGTTATGCTTAGAATTGTATTATTCGATGTTTACTGATTAAACACTTGACTCGAACTGAATATTCCAACATGCATAGCTAAATTCTACTGAAATGTATGACATGTCGATCCCATTAATATATTTATAGACATGTATATATATATATATATATATATATATATATATATATACATTGATTTAATACATGTGCCGTCAAACTAGTTTCGCTTAGAAAAAGTACACAGAGCAAATTACGCATAGATAGATGCAGAGAGAGAGAGTGAGAGCGAGAGAGAGAGAGAAAGAGAGAGAGGGAGGGCGAAGAGAAGGAGAGATACACATTGACCAAACCAGTTTAGAGACAACACTGAGAGAGGAAGAGAAAATGAGGAGAAGCGTGAAATTTTTATTTCCATATGAAAACATAAACAAATCCTCTGCGCAAGCTGAATAATATTAAAGCACGTTTTAAACCGGAACTTCACAACTCGGTATATTATTATGCACGTGTATAACAATATATTAACACTTTTATATGTTTCTGATACTGACCCATGAACTAGCAATTTCATCCGACTTGCGTAAACCGCTTAATCTTAGATAGCTCAGGGGCCGGGCAAAGCCCGCAAACCTGTCCTCAAATTGAGCTGAACACCGTCGGTTGCATCTACGTTCGGGGATTTCTCCGCATGGATTGAGAGAGGGAGAGGCGAGAACGCGACAAATGGAGAGAGAGAGCGCGCCTGACTCAGATGTACATTTGATAATACCAAGCTGATTGGCAATGTGCTTGCTCAGTTCTCGCACAGTTCATATCAGCTACAGTTCTGAAACGGAGTTCAATGGCGATCGCATCGCAAACGGTAATGCTGAGGTTGACGCTGCTCAGTCTTTGTCTACATATTGTCTTGCCCCAGCGTCTGCCACCCAATGATTGCAACCACATCTTTCACTACCAACGGAGGGGCGATATTTGGATTGGCCATGGAACGCCCCCTGTGGATGGGCTCAGAAGCGTTCATTGGGTGCTGCGCTTTATGGCACATGGTGCCAGCCTGGTATGTATGTAGGTAGCGGATCAGTTATCTGACTCTATTCTCATTGTTGTTCTTTATCACAATAGCCGGGCACAGTTGGTGGCTTGGAAGCGTATCCAGATAAGGCGACCGCTCTACAAAATATGCATAATGGCGGGCGAGCTGAAATATCTGTGGGCTTTTATGGTCACTGGGATGAGCTGCCCAAGATAGTCGAAATCAAGCTCAATGATGATGTGCTGTGCACATCATCCGGATGTGAGTAATCAATGGATAAGAATAATAATTTTGCAGTCAAAGCTGTGATTTCTATAAATCGTCTTAGCATCTCGTAACAGTTATTAGATGGGCAAAGTGCCAATAATTACTGATATTTCAATGTTAATTCACCCTGAACCCATTGAAAATGGCTAGAAAGAGTATAGTGAAAGTAAATAACAGGCAGAAAGAAGCATTTCTTACCCCACAGGGTATATATATATTCCTGATCAGCATCAACAGTCGAGTCGATCCAACCATGTCCGCGTTTTCGTCCGTATATAAGAACGTCGCATCGACTTAGTATTTTAACTACGAGTATATGATTTTACATACCATAAGCAGATGAATTTTATTTCATTTTATCGATAATCTCCTCGTGCTTTTGTCGTGCTTTCTCTTAACTGTTTTATCACATATTTTGTTGCTGCATTATTGAAGTCGGTTAAGATATGTATATAAAACAAGTAACAACAAGCAAGTTATAACAAGCAAAAAATTAATATTATTGCTATCTTGTAATTATAGATGGTGCACCCTCAACGACATTAACTCGAGAGCTAACCATGTATGTTACAACGTCGACTGTAACAAATACTCTTCCGGTACGAAATATCAGACCTGCATTTTTAGATAAGATAAAAACTACTCCCGCACAGCACACACCAAGGCCCACACAAAGTCATACACCAAGGCCTCCAGGAAATCCTGTATTTGGTCCACAATGGGGTGGACCCAACTTTGCTGGCAATCCATTCTTGTCGGGGGCAACGTCCAGGAAACCCGCTACTAATGTTGCCAATGTTGTCAATGTACCCAATGTTGTCCCTGTTATCCATGTGGACACGCAGGCGTCTCCAGCAAGATATGAGTGCGGCGTAGAGGGTTTAGTTGGCCTACAGATTGGCGGTGATTCGCTGCCTAGAGGACGTTTCCCCTGGCTGGCCGCACTCTATCACGACAGCAATGTGGACGTCAACAAAATCGAGCTGTCCTATAAGTGCGTGACAACTGTGGTCTCTAGACGTACTGTCATAACAGCGGCGCATTGTGTCTACGGTCTCACGCCGGCTCAACTGAGGGTTTATGTAGGACGTCATGACATAACCATGCACCCCGAAAAAGATGCCACCCTAATGGCTGTGGAGATGGTCCGCACGCATCCTGACTTTGTCGGCAATCTGGTGCCTGATTCGGATTTGGCTCTATTGGTGCTCGTCGAGCAGGTGCAGTACTCCATCTATGTGCGTCCCATTTGCCTGTGGACCAGCAGCACTACGATACATATCGGTGACAGCGAGCAAACCTCTGTCGCCGGCTGGGGCACCGACAGCAACTCCAAGCCAACTCGCTTTCCCACAACGGTGAATGTGAGGACAGTGTCTAATGAGGAGTGTCTGCGGGGAATGCTCACCGCCAAGGACTTTTTGACGCCCCGCACCCTGTGCGCAGGCAACAGCCAAGGACATGGCCCTTGCTTGGGTGACTCCGGCGGCGGTTTGATGGTACTACGTAACGGTCGCTGGTACGTGCGAGGGATTGTCTCATTGGCTCAACGTGCCGGCAATAGTTGTGATTTGACGCGCTTCGTCATCTACTGTGACGTTGCTAGACATCTCGACTGGATAGAGCGTAATATTGTGAGATAAGCTATTACAATTAAGCTAACGAAATAAATAAAAAGCTGCCTGCTTAAATAGTAATACAAGCGCCAATGTGCCAATGGGAGTGTTGCCGCTTTCCGATTTCTATACTCAGTTTTTACACAGCTCTCCAGAGTCGATGTCGGAGATTTTGATGGGTTCTATGCGCTTTATCAATTTCAGCACGATGCAGTATTTCCAGTTTGTTTAACATACTCGTTCCAACAACGCCACACAGAGCACTATTGCACAGCTCAGATCGACTGCACTTTTATTCGCCTAATGACGCTTGTCGTGTACTAAACAATTGGAGAACTGAGTTTTCATTTAAACTGATATTCTTAAAATTTGGGTAATTCCATTGCAGCTGTAGCAATGTTTCTGCTGTTGGCAATGTTGTTGACAGTTTCTATTGCTCAACAATTGCCAGAGAACGCGTGTTCTCAATATTTTAAATATGTGCTGTCTGAAACTGGTGACTCTCAGGGCGAGATTACGCTTGACTTGCAAAATGGCCGCAATCGTATCGATGTGCGATTCTCACAACGTGGCTATCAAAATGTATGTAATCGATGATTCTGAAACTGAGCCACATTCATTCCACATTATTCCTATAGCAAGATGCTGTTGGCAGCCTGTTGCCATATCCCGATCAGATGATAGTGCGCACCAAACTCGGCGCCGCACAATTTCGCCTGAGCCTCTGGTCGGATGCGCAAGGTGTGCTGCCTAAGCTTACCAGATTGACATTCAATGACGTCACACTATGTAGTTCCAGCGATTGTGAGCAATGCTTAACGGTGATCTAGTTAGCCAATTATATTATATTACCATTCACAGATAATTCACCCCAAACTTACTTCAATCGCTTCTACATGCTACAAATAAACGGGCCTCAGTCAGCTCTTCAATGGAATTCCGCCAGTGTGATCCGTCACACATCATTTGAGGATGCGTCGCTTAAATCATTAGTTTTCGATGATCCTAAAGCATCAAACTCGTACATTCTATCCGAATTTTTCTCTGAGCAGCCTATCACTGCGGCTACTCCTTTACCTCTCTGGACACCGGCAATAACAACAACAATTGCCACTTTAACGGCAACACCCCGGCAAAATTCACCGCCCACAAGGAAACCTTCAGTAATTTTCGATCGGATGAATCCCAATTTGACGCCGTCACTAAACGCTCAATCGGCGGCCGAGTGTGGTCAGGAGAGCTTATTCAGTTCTTTCATTCAAATGGGCCGGGAGTATCCGCGTGGCATGTATCCTTGGCTAGCAGCCATATATCACAAGGAGTCTTTTAACCTTCTATTCAAATGCGGTGGTTCGCTAGTCTCGAACAACTTAGTGATCACAGCTGCGCACTGTGTTTACATGAAAAGAGAGGATCGCATAATGGTGAGCTTAGGCCGTCACGATTTGGATAATTTTAATGAAGATGGAGCTGAGTCGCGGCATGTGTTACGCATTCTGAATCATCCAGAATATTCCACGCGTTTGGCGCAACAGCCGGATGCGGATATTGCGCTGGTCACACTGGATCAGCCCGTCATGTGTGTAAAGCCTTTCTGTCTTGTTTTTTCTAATTTTGTAATCTATTTTTTGGCATTTAATCTTCCTGTGTTGTAGATTTAATGACATCATTAGTCCAATTTGCCTGTGGGAGGCAGCAGAGAGTGAAATTCTGGACGACATTGGTACAGTTGCCGGCTGGGGAACGGATGAAAATGGCAACGTATTAACACGATATCCGCGTGATGTCAGAGCAAAGATAGTCACCGAGTTAGAATGCGCTAAAAAGATTAAAGTGCGGAAGGTCCTCGGACGCAGCTTCTGTGCTGGTAATCTGGATGGCTCTGGTCCCTGTCTAGGCGATTCCGGTGGCGGTCTGATGATTAAACGCAACAACCGTTGGCTACTCAGGGGCATTGTTTCCCTTGGGCAACGGAGCCTCGTTGGGATCTGCAACAACACCCATCAGTATGTGCTCTACTCTGATCTTTCAAAACACATGACATGGATAAAACAGAATATAGGCTTGTCCTTATGAGTGATGAATGAAATGAATGAAATGTAAAATATTAAAATAATAATAAAATAAAGTAAATTATGCCAAGCCAATTTTATCCTACAAGCACAATAAATTGTGGGATGCGCTCAGCATCAATATAAATAATGAGAATTTTAATTACGTATTAGGTCAGCATTTAAATAAGTTGCTATAGTAAATTATTTGCATGAAATCTAAGTTGGAATAACGATCTTGCTGTGCTCTTCTTATCCTCCAAGAGTTATTGATTTAAAATTAAAAAAAGAATTATTGAATTATGAGTCATCCTTTAATATCGGAATTATCCATAATAAAAAATTATCCATTATTTTTTTATATGTAATTTATAATAGGAATTCGTTGCTGAAGTTATGATTAGCAATGATATTTAATCAATGATGATTGCCTGTATTTATAATCTTATTATTGTTACAATGTATTGTTGAATTTTTGAATAAAGTTTAATTCTTTTGAGTTAAAATGTGGATATTTTAAAATTTTTCTTTTTTATATGATATTATAATTTCACTTTAAACTAAAGGTCAGGTTAAGTTAAATATAGAACTTTTGAGGATGGACATTTATTTAATTTAATTTTTTCAAGATAAATTAATCGAGTAGTAAGATCATTATTAGTATGATTGCAAACGCCGTCGACAAGTTGGGAAACCTAACAAAAATGTGACTATATTAATTGCGCTATGCACGCTTGCAAAGCTTTCCGGTTTCGCCTGAGAACTCAGAGTGTAACAAATTTTACACTCACTGGCCGCGGGCTACATTATAACTGAGATTATCGCTTATGGATTCATTTCATTCATTCGCTGGTCGTTGCTCAGCGAGTGCGGTTCTGCTGGACTTTAGATAGATACTCGGTTTCATAGAGTTTCGCGAGTGTAGTTCACGAGTACCATGGATGAGAAGATGAGGATGCTACTACCCGGCTTTTTGCTGTCACTGCTTTGGCTTATATCACCGACTTCAGCACAGTTACCGAATAATGCTTGTTCGCAATACTTTGAGTATCTGTCATTCAATCAACAGTTTATCGGCCACATTTCAGTACGCCTTAATCCGCAATTTGAAAATGTGCTCGTTGTTGAGTTCTCACAGCGCGGAGCTTACACGTGGGTAGGTACTACTTTATTTAAGTATTTATGTGTAGAGCACTGTTATGCGAGTGTGTGACTCGGTGCAAATCTATCATAATCTTTTTCCGAGCTGCAGTTTCACTTCTGGTTGCCCGATCTGTGCTCATTCGTTGTGTCGCTTATCACACACTGACCGAACGACCGTCTTTATTCTGAGTATGTGTTTTTCCCGCCGCAATCACAATTTGTTTATATTTACCCAAGTGCATACAAAATAAAATGATCGTCACAACTGCGGAATATTCTGTTTCCAGGGTAAGAACAGCTGAAAAAAGTTGGGAAAGGCCCTTCCTGATAATGCAAATTATGAAATGGGAGTCGCCCGAAAATGATAAATGCCCAAATTGTATTTATTCAGTAACCTAAATAACCAATTCAAATAGTAATCAGTACTAAAATGACAAACATATCTTTTGGATTTGTGACTTCTACTTGCTTAAGCCCGGAATACTCAATTTTAATTGGAAAATGAGTATAAAAGCAAATTTGCTTTTGCACTGGGAGTCAATAAATTAGGTTCATAATTTATTGTGTCAATAAAAGAACGAGTGCGATCTTTTTGAGCCCCTCAGAGAATAGTCAAATACAGTAAAGAGAGTGTACTATAAAGTGGTAACGCATTAGAGAGCAAGGCTTACAAACAGAAGTTGTACTCTTAATCTTGAAAAGTGTGTTTGTTTTGATTTGTTTGATTATGACTAACTGAATACACATATACACAACTCAACCAGTTTAAAAAGAAGAAGATTTTATTGGATTTACCGACTGATTTGTACGTCCCCGGCTTCAATAATATTCAATATATAAATAAAAGCTTCAATTCGAAGTGTTAATACACTTTACGATTAATACACTTGTGATAACAAAGCGAAGAATTTGATCAAATTCGAATATAAAGTCACAATAAAGTAACTGCATTTAGATGTTCTATTTTATACCATGAATTATTACAATTCACTATATGTGTAACATTATTTCTTCCATTTAGAGCTATGTGGGCAGCTTGACCCTGCTGGACAGCGACGAGCAGACTAATTCAAATTTACGTTTTGGAGAACCCATCAACTACCGCGTTGACTTTCCATTGCCCAGCAGTCCACCCAAAGTGACACAAATCAGGCTCAACAATCAGGTTCTATGCAGTGCAGCTCAGTGTGAGTAAGCCACATGTGGTTAGTGCATATCCATATAATTAATACGCTTCTTACAGATCCGTTACCACGAACAGCAATCACACTTACGCATAAGTTAACCTCACCGCAACCGCTGAGCTTTTTGGGACCAAATCGTATACCGACTGGTGTTAATCCACCGTGGTCTGCTCTGCCGAACGAACCGCAGCCTGTTTACAATATTGAAGAGATACCATATCAAGAGTTGACAACGCCCAGAACGCGTCCAGTGGCACAGCCCCAAACTGATCTCGGCAGTCGAGCGGCGCCAAAGCCAAGGCCAGACCAAGTCGAGCAGTCGCTGAGTAGCATTTGTGGACGTGAAAGAGCGCTTACGACGCCTCTGATCTTTCAGGGTGAGCAGCTGCAACGAGGTCAGCTGCCCTGGCTAGTCGGAATCTACGAGCGTTCATTAGACAATGGCCTGCCCTTCTTCTGCGGCGGCACTCTTCTCTCGTCTTGGACAGTGCTATCCGCTGCACACTGCTTTCGCTTTCCTGGGCGTGATCTGCCCGCAAATCGAACTGTGATCTCCCTTGGTCGCAACACCATCGATATCGTGTCGGCGGGCGAGTTGCGCGATGTATCGCAGTTGGTGTTCCACGAGGAATACGAGCCTAGAAGCGCACAGGCAGATATAGTACTCATCAGACTGGCCAAGCAGGTCGCGTAAGTAGCATATATGAACTTTGCTTTTGTCGTTTTTATTTTATTTGGTTCGACCACATCTCGCTTTCAGTTTCAATGATTTCATCGTTCCCATTTGCTTGTGGAGCGAGAACTATCCGCTTCAGTTGCCGTCCGGCTATAAAACCTATGTAGCTGGCTGGGGTGCCGATGAGAATGGTAATACGAACACGAAAGTGGCGAAAATCATCGACACGAATATTGTGACTGAGGCCGATTGCCTGCGTGAGCTGCCCAGGAGACTGGTGCAGCCCAAAACGATCTGTGCGAAGCGTGACAACGCCGGTCCTTGTGGCAGCGATGGAGGAGGCGGACTGATGCTTCGGGAGAACAATGTGTGGCTGCTGCGGGGAGTCATCTCGCTGGGTCTGACTAAGGATAATACTTGTGATCTCTCCAAGGCTGCCCTCTTCACCGATGTTGCCAAGCATATTGCTTGGGTGCGTCAGAATATGTGGGAATAACTATAACCATAATTAATGCAACTAAACTAGGATCTAGTTATTTACATAGTTATAAGAACAATTTATCCTGTGAATAATGTAAAAAATAAATCAAATCAAAATGCACAATCGTTTAACAAATGGGCTTTGCTAAATGTCGTAATTATGTACGTCATAAGCGGGTAATTTATATATAAATTACTTGTTCTAACACTGAATCTTAGCAAACAATTGCGTAACACTTTGTACCTGCTTGATTATGATTATTTAGCTAAGAAAGTGTGGTGATTTTAGTCTTAACCTGTGGAAGAAATATATTTTTGGCTTATACGGAGTGACTAAAATTCCACAAAACTAATATACTCAATTTCTGTCCGAGCGAAGTATAAATATAATAATATACATATTTATTAATATTAATAAGCTTTTTGAAAGACTCTCTCAACAGATAAATAAAATGTTTATTAATTTCCTACTTTGTAACAAAGACGTCGATGCAAACAAAGCGAGAGAGGCTTTCTGATAGAGAAAGAGCGCTTGGCTGGTTAAGAGAGACATCAGGTTTTGTCTCAGATGATTAATTCTCATCGATCGCATAAGTCGCGCAACAGTTTTTTTAATAAATAAAATCCGATATACAATAGTCATCGCTTGGCGCTCTACGAATGCGGTTTGGATTCTGAGTGCGCTTGTTTAGCGTTAGTTGTGCATTAAAGCTTCGTGTATAAAGAACATGGAACAGCTCCTAATGCTGCCCGCCATCTGTCTGACACTGTTGCTACTAACTTGGTCCAGTTCAGCTCAAGTGCCGCCCGTCGCATGCCCGGAATACTTTCAATACCTCGCATACAATCAGGAGTATATTGGCCGTGTTTCAGTACGGCATGATCCCCAATATGCGGAGAATACGCTTAGAATTCAGTTCTCACAGCGCGGCTCGCTCACTTCGGTAAGTTTTGCGAAGCTTGATTTAATGAAAAAAAAATAAAAATAATACCAAATGTTATGGGAAAACCCTACTATCTATCATATTAAACGGACTTCCAGCAATAATAACATGCTAAGGCTTTATTTGTATTGCATTATTATCAAGCATTGACCCCGAATAGTGATAAGACTTGTTACTTTAGAGCTGGCTCTGATAATACAAATGCACAACAAAGTCTTTTGTCGTTTGTTTCATGGCCCTTTTAACTTAATAATGAGCCAATAAAATAGTTTTAATTTTGCATTTCTAAAACGCCTTTGACTTCTTTTCGGGAACCAACATAGATATAAATGTCACAATTCGTATAATAATGTCCGAGCCAACGCAAAGTTGACTATTTATACAGATTAAGTAATTCGAATTTTATTATTTGATTCTCAACAGCTCTCTGGCTTTGAGCACTAGTTCCGGAGGTTGTGTGACCGGTTTTGTATCACTTTGTTTGTTTGTTAAGTTTACACTGTTGATATAAATGTGATTTATTGTTATTATTTGATTTTATTTTAATGTAAACCACAACAGTGTTGGTTTTACCAAGTTGATTCATTTATATATGAGTAGCATATCATAAATTATTTTATCTACTTTAAAATCTAATGATTTGGTTAAAATATACGAAATGCATGTTGACAGAGAATTACAGCAGTTCCTTTGAAAATAATATATATTTTTAAAACATACAAAAGCATAATAGTACTCCCAACCACGGACTAAAACATAGATATCAGTAGAATAAGTTCCGTCAGAGGTATGTAATTTTCGTGGTGCCAAATATAGTCGTTCTTTCTTGTTTATTTTTTATTTTATTAAATATGGCTAGTCCATTTGATAAAGTCAATGTGTCTACACTTTCAGAACTACGTTGGTAGACTTACACTGTGGGATGACGAGGAAACAACAAAGTTCAATCTGCGCTTTGGCAACCCTATTGAGTATCGCGTTGATTTTCCCACACCTGGAGTTGTGCCCAAGTTGACGCATTTGATGATTAACGATGTGGTCTTATGCAGAGCATCGCCATGTAAGAAACGTTCGATTGGTCTTCGATTGGCAGCAACTAAGCTACTAACTTCTTTTGCAGATCCTCCCACCAGCGTGTCGCTCTCCTTGTCACACTCGCTGCGCGCCACAGCCACGCCATTATTCCCACAGCAGAATCCTCGGCAGATCCCTCAGCAGGTCCCTCCGCGAACTATACAACGCCCTCAGCAGCCCGTAGCCCGTGTTCCGCCTCAACAACCGCAACAACCTCAACAACCTCAACAACCTGCCTCAACACCACAACTTAATCGACGTCCCGTGACACAGGCGAGGCCGCCACCAGAAGCGCCCAGGACTAGCGGTCAGGGTCTCCTTCAGCTCAGTGGAGTGTGTGGGCGAGAGGGGCCCGTCGCCACGCCGCTCATCCATCATGGTACTGAGGTGAGACGTGGCCAGTTGCCGTGGATTGTGGCTCTGTTTGAACGTAACGCGGACGGTCCACATTTCTTCTGTGGCGGCACACTCATCTCGGCCTTAACGGTGCTCTCGGCGGCGCACTGTTTTAGATTCAATAGTCGTAATGTGCCGGCCAGCCGTGCAGCTGTTTCGCTGGGTCGCATCTCACTCGATCTTGTGTCGGATGGATTGCTGCTTCCAGTCACCGATCTGGTCATTCCTGATGAATACTCGTCCCAAAACTATACGGATGCAGACATTGCCTTGATCAGGCTGGAGTCGCGAGTGAGGTGAGCTTTGACAGTTTTACGCCATGCCTCGACCATCGTAATAAATTGATTGCTTTCAGCTTTGGAGAATACGTCAAACCCATTTGTCTGTGGAACGAGAACTTTCTGCTGGAACTCCCGTCGGGCTACAAGTCGTATGTGGCCGGCTGGGGTGCCGATGAGAACGGCAATGTAAATACACGTGTGGCCAAAATGACGGATACGGATATTGTGCTCGAGACTGAGTGCCGACGCAATCTCCGATCAGAAGAAGGCGTCCGACTTGTCACCTCAAAGACGCTTTGTGCGAGCAACAAACAGGCTGCCGGCCCATGCAATGGTGACTCTGGCGGCGGCCTCATGATTCAACAGAACAACATTTGGTTGCTGCGAGGCATTGTGTCCGCCGGTCAGACTTACACTGATCACTGCGATTTAACGCAACCTGTTATCTACACAGACCTGGCTAGGCATATTAATTGGGTGCGCCAGAAAATTTGGGTCTGAGTGGCGACGTTTCGCTGCGAAGAGATTAGTTTAACTTGTGATAAGTAAAATAGAGAAAGAGGGCTTCAAATTGTGTGCCAAAATAAATGGAAGCTTAGCTTAGATGTAATTGAAAAATTGCTGTGCAAGTGTAATTTGTCAGTGCTCGCAATTTGCGTTCATTACGTGCACACTTCACTCTGTCACATTCGCCGGACTGCATCGGCGACAAACATCAGCCGTAATCAGGCTAAATTTGCGGGAAGTGCGGACGGGTGGGAATTGACGTGAACGTGAAATGCGCCAATGTTACAAACGGGGTACAACAGGTGCTTGCTCCGATAAGAGTGTATTCTCTCTCACATAATCTATCTCTGTGTCTTTCTCTCTCTCTCTCTCTCACTCTGTCTCTTTGACTCTCTGTCACTTTCTCTTGCTCTCTGTGACTCTCATTTCTTCGGCTGCGCTGCGCAGTTTGTTCGCCTGTGCTATGAACGGTTTTGCCAAATCCTGTTGAATCTCGTTGCTGTTCCTGTTCGTCTCGTATGAAATCGCTATAAAATGTGTTGCATACCGTGCGGCACTGGCAAATGAACGCACGGCATTTGCCTGCGTTCCGCCCCGCTCTGCCACCACCATTTACCGTTCCCGTTCACCGTTCGCCGTTCGACGTTCGACGTTCGTCTGCCCGCCGTTGTCGCTCGCTCGCTGGCTCGCTCGCTCGTGCGTGCCCTTCTGTCAACGGACAGTCAACGTTCAGCCTTCAAATCGCACAGTTCGGCGCGGCAGCAGCTCCGTAAGTAGTCGACATCAAAAGAGTCCACTCAGCTCGTGTGTGTGCGTGAGTGTTTGTCGTGCTTGTGCATGCTCGTGTGTGTGTGTGTGTGTGTGTGTGCTTACGTGCCTGTGTCTGTGTGTGTGAAATTCTCAACTGTCGATCAATTGACAGGGCTCTCGTTAAGCCCAAATATCATGCGCGCGATATATAGAAAATCGAGTTAATACAAATACGAGTAACTAATTCAATGACGGTTAAATCGTGCTAACGGTTCTTGTCAGCCCAAAACGGTTAACAATCAGCAAACTGTCAACAATTTGTTAATTGGTCTGATGGCAGCACGAGCGGCAATCATTTATCGTCATGCCGCCTGCAGTTGTCCAGTGAACTGTTATTAACTGGCTTTTGGCACACACACACAACACACACGATTGGCCATTGGCGCCATTGGTCACGTTTTGTTGACCATTTGTTGTTATCCCGGGCAAAAGTAAATGACTCTGCTGACAACGTTGCATACGTTGAACGGAAAAACTGTTGAAAATGTGCAATTTCCGTTTGGGAAATGTGGCATGACGAAGGCTAGGCATTGCACGACATACGCCTAGGACAGTGTTTAGTTTATTCTGCTCACATTGTGTGGAAATGGAAAATGAATAGCAGAATGCAGCTTATGAATAGACTAATCGTCCACAGCAGCAGACCCATCAATTGCTCATCGACAGAGGGAGGTGCATTCAAACAATAAACAGACCGTGTATCCAAAAATCACAATCGAAGCCAAAATGCGAAGCCGCTGTTGCCTGGCAATTTGTTGTTGTTGCTTATCATTCTGAGATTGAAACTCGAGCAAACGTTACCACAGGCAGCGATTGCGAAAGCAACAATTAAGTTATTGTCTCCCAAATCCCCTTTCCCAATTCACTTAGCCACTTACCCCAAAGGCAACATGACAAATGCCGTGAGTGCTGCAACGGCCATTGCCGCGCTTGCCGCAGCAGCAGCCGCAGCAGCAGCAGCCTCCAATCCTGCCAGCAGCTACAACAATAACAACAACAACAACAACAAAAGCATCAGCCATACCATCAGCAGCAGCAGCAGCAGCATCAGCAGTACAAATGGCAGTCATCGTAATCACAGTGTGCTGCTATTGGCAGCGGATCACCTGCCGTTGCAGGTGACAACTACCAAGGTGGATCTGGAATTTGAAATTGACATTCAACTGCTGACAAATGGATATGATGGCACCACGGTGAGTTAAAGGGGGAAGAGCGCGGCTGATGGGTTTGTCAATGTGAATTTATGTCCTCTTATTGGGCATCGATTGTGCATTGTGTACTGTCTATTGACTTGCCTTCGGGGCTTGGCTTGTGAGCTTTATGTCCAAGGAGAGCTCGTAAAATGATGCTTTAGCACAGGTATGCTCTGCTTTTGCCTTAGATGCCCTTGTAAGTTACTGTTTGATCGACTGCATGACAATGGCATCCAAAAAATAAAAAGGACCCAAACAGCCATCGAGTTTTATGAACTTCATTTTTATTACATGCGCGCATATTCGGAGACATTGTAGGTTGATTGCACATGCGGTTTATGGTGCGTATACGCAATAAATATTTGCACTAGCCTTTAAAGCCGCATGCCTAACGTATTGTCAAGACAAAGAGTTCGAAAACATATTATCCAAACACATCATTCATTATTGGGTTAAGCGTCCGCTGCGCACCAGTTTGCAAATCAATAAAAAATTTTATGGGTGCTATGATAAGGACGTAATTTCAATTAAACAGTATATAAAACAATGCTTTTCATCGAATAATTGGTTTACGTAAAACAATGTGGACCGGAAACTCATTTTAATAAACGAATTTAAAATATTCTTTAAATAATCAATAATCTCATATTAAATCTTTTTTTATCCAGTAAAATGCAGTAATCGAATAATAAGTTTATAGTGGATTTAAATATTGTTAACAATTTCTATTGTGTAAAATTCAGAAATTGAAGAATAACTTTTAAGTGGTTCTCACTTTTTTAATATTGTTCAATGTCTCTTTAATAATTAGATACTTAAGGAATACGCTCATATTTGAAGTCATTTGAAATCATTACCTGGTAATTGTAATGCTACACACATATACAAAAGTCTAATTTACAATAGTTAGGCGCACTCTATCTAATCGAAATAATTGTGAATTATGGTGCAAAGGTGGAAGAACTCTTCATTTCGTTGTATACGAGCATGTGTGTATATTATTTAATTTCTCAGTAGCCAGGTGCTAAATGAATATGAATACGGGTCTCATTAGCAGAGCACGCACACGTGGAACTTTTCCCGTGACAGTATACAACTTTTATACATATACAGATACGGACATGTACGTATGTATATACATATATCGATGCATAATCCACTTTTGAAAAGGGTGCACAGAGTTCTGGCTTATGGCAGTAGATGTTCAGGTACGCCAAACTTTATCCTTTATTTGGCAAACGAAAAATGTACGTGTTGCGTAAAGGATATGGAAAAACACACACAAGCACAAGCACAAGCACACGACTGATAAATTTGGCATATACTATATAGCTGCTATATCCGTTGCCAGAATAAAGTTTGCACTGTTGCTGAGCTGTTCGCACGTTTAACTTGCAATCGAATGTAAATAATGAGTATCACGTAATTTGACGTGCAGCGCTTAGAATATTCTGCAACTTGGTCCACACACACACACACACACACACACACAGCTGACTAAACAGGCGATAGGGAATAGACAATGGGCAACAGCAGAGATTGGGCACTCGTGTCGTTTGACTGTTTTCGTAGATGGAAATAAATAGATTTGCAACCAATGTTTAAGCAGCTCTAATGTGAAAAGCGGAAAATGTACACACTGAAGCACTAAACAAACATCCCTATCAGCATTGTTTGCATTTTCCATTTTGCCAACTTTGTTATCTAGTTAATGTTTCGGACAACTTTGGACGAGTACAGCAAATCAGTGACAAAATTTGTGCAGATTTTAATGGAATTTTGCATTCCACTGGCACATCAACATTCGCCATACTTTTGCACATGCCACAGTCATTCCAAAGAATACATATCGCTTGGTATATGGGGTTTTCCATCGAAATTCGATCGCTGGCAGGCACTTTGCATAATAAGCATAATACGCAATGCAACCCATTGTGCAATCCACTTGAATTATTAATCCACACGACCGACATTTTGTCATTGCCTTGTTCGTATATACTCACACAAAGCCACACACACACATGTTGGCTGGCTATTGTTGCAGTTATTTGTGTGTGTGTGTGTGATGTGTTTGTGTTTTGAATTAATTCTATATTTTCTATTACCCGGAAGCAGCAGCATAAAAACTTGAGTTTCCCCATTGTTCGGCGTCTTTGCACACCCGAGTATAATAATAATAAAATATTAATAGCATTAAGTATTGTTGTTTTGGCATACCATCGCACTGATTGCTCCGCATTTGCCTCTGCTTTGCCAGTAGCCCAGTGGCCATTGTTGCCCATACACAATGCAAACACACTCACAACCTCAAGCAGACACACACACACACACACACAAAGCAATCGAACCAATTCCGCCAATAATTTGTCGAAATCGGCAATGATTACATCATTGCCAGTGGGCGTGACAAGGGATATTGATTATTCCCCCGATCAATTGGAATGTGCTGCGCATCATGCTTATAATTGCTAACAAGCAATTTATGGTCTTCTGCTCGAATTGGTAGAGTGACTATGATGTCTATCTAAATTTTGGCAGATTTCTTTAGATGTTGCCATCAGCTGTCACGTTCCTTGACGGTCTGTAATTATAAAATATTTAATCTGCCTGTCAAATCTCTGTGTGTTTGTTATTAATCATCTGAGCCGAAAAATCAAATTAGAACAAAATAATATATATATTTATACACCTATTTCTATTTTAGTCTCAATTAATACAGATTTAACAGAATATCGCTAGATACGCCAAAAGAAAGGCTATATGCGTATACTTGAGTATGTTTACTAATAAAATAAAGCCAAAAAATGCACTTGACAAAAACAAAAGTCCTCACAATTGAATTTAATTATGCGGAATTAAATAAAACCATTAGCAATTTATGAGTGTGCTGCTGGCAGTTGCCTGCCATTATTATGGAAACAACCGCAAAACAAATGAGTGTCATGCTTCAAAGCAAAACGTCCCACTTTATCCTGGCCATAAATTGGGTCGCAAATATAAACCGCAAAATGGAATGCAAACAGAGCCAACCACATTCATACGCAGAGCTTGTAAGCCAGATGCAATTTGTTCCCCGCATGTGTGTGTGTGTGTGTGTGTGTGGATAAAGGCTTGCTATTTAGCCACTTAGGAAAAGCGACTCTGGTCTTTTCACACCTCGACTTTCCCATTATGCTGAACCACAGACGCCACAATATGTTTGTATAGGTGTTGCCATTTAATTGTGCAGAACATGATGTCTTTCTCTTCCTCTATTTCTCCCTCTGTATATATATATATATATATATATATATATATGAGTGTGTGTGAGTGAGTGGGGCAAAAATAGCAAATGAGAATCGCAGGTAATTTCTGATTTTTATGTTGTCTGTATTTCAGTTTTCACTGATAGGTCGCCGCCCATTTTGACGAGGGTCAGTCAGATGGCAGCTAAAGATTTTTCAATGCGCAGTCCAAGGTTTTCAATAAACCCAAAAGGCTTTCGTTTTATTGACCATAAAAACGTGAGCCCATTTTCCTTTTACTTTTTTTTTTGCTACTTTTATTACATTTTTTTTACTGTCGAGCTGGTTGTGTTCGCTCCTGGATTTCCAGCCATTGCTCTATTCAAACTGGGATCGATAACTGCAGCCAGTGAGCCCTGCACAAGCCGTGCAAGTTGAGCATGTAATTGCGATACAACAATGAGCGATTATATTAGTGATTGAGAGGGAGGGGCAGTGGAGGAGTATCTCTGTATGATACTAACGCCACTTGGACCAAGAGTATGCTGCAAAATATGGTTGTTGGCGTGAGGACTGAAGGTTATTACATTGTGTATTTGTAATTTGGTAATAAGTCAATATTTACTTATGCCTTACTACTTGGTCACATCAACTGCTATTCAGTCTTAACACTTGTGTGTGTGTGCGTGTGTGTTTGGTTGAGTTTCGCCATATGAAGATTTTAGCAATGGCAGAATCAAACTAGCTCTACTTTAGTGCCACAAGAGAAGTGCAGCTGTGCATAAATTTGTCTGTTGTTGTATCTGTGTATCTGTGTATTTCTGGTACTGGTGCATCCGCAGACTGCAGTTATATATTTGTGTGAGAAGTTTGCTGAATGTTTGTCAAACACACAACGGGCCAAGTTACCGACATCGTTTCGTTTGCTTCTCGTGTCACTGGCTTCCACTCAAATTCGATAGCCACTGCAAAGAAAAAACAAGAAGCAATGGTTATCTTAGCCATGCCGAAGATTACTTACCCTTGCATATTGGAGTCAAATTGCCGCCATCTAAAATGTACAATAAATAACAAAAATTTAACGATTTTTTCTATGAACGCCTTATGTAATAGTTGTGTGATGTTAAAATGTTATCAGCATAAATTCACGCATAACTAATGTATTTGCTTATTTTAGATAAACAATTTTTCATATAAGAACTAATTTATTTTTTATCGATTCTTCCAATGGAAGCTATTTGATATAGCAGATCTGAATAATTTTTATCACAAATATGAAAGGCATAATAATACGCATATTGGCTAAGCATGATTTGTATATCTTGTTAAACAAAAATAGTTTTCATACAAGAACTAAACACTTGACAACTATATGACTCATTGATCTGATCCGAAAAAAAAACGAAAAAGTTTCATCAAGAGGACAGAGATAGCTAAATCGACTCGGCTAGTGTTGCTGATTGAGAAAATATATATAATTTATGAGGTCGGAAACGTCTCCGTGAAGTTTAAGTCACAACAAAATTATAATACCCTCCACAAGTGTATAAAGAAAAGTACATGGCATAAAATCGATTGCTTTTCACTCCAAGTTAATGTGTGATGAAGCGGCAACAGCAGCCTCAGGAGTGGCAGCCAGAGATCTAAACTGAAATCGAAATTGACAGACTGCAATTCGAAATCAGTTTAAGTCAACTGCTTTGACATTGCCTCCCCCACTCTCTCAAGTGAACAGCGACAACGAGAAATGTTTCTGCTGGAGCCTGCTAATTATTG